GTGCTGTTTCTCTGATTGAAATATCTCGTATAATAATTAGCTCATACGACATTGAAAGTTAGGCGTAAGTATAACACTATAGATATTCTAGCAATTAAGAAAAAAAATTCTAGAGTTACTTAGCTATATATCTATAGGTTATTGTTCATTTCTGACAAGTGCACGAAAACATACATATATATATATATATATATGTAGAAAGAGAGAGAGAGAGAGAGAGAGAACTTACATTGATGAAGCAATCATGGAAATGGAGGCGGAGTAGTGAGGCTCCCATGCGACGGTCATTGTCTACTGCCTCGAATACTTGACGCTGAATTACATTGAGGGCATTTGGGCATGAAAGCGAATAAAAAAGAGGCGATAGCTCAGCGGAAACCCTTGTTCCTAATAGAAAGACGATCAAAATGATGGAGAAAGTATACGAGGAGAAGGAAGCCATGGCAAGGTGGAGCACGGCAAAACCTAGTAAATATTCAATTTCTACCTTGTATAGCAGGTCAACTACTGCCTGTGTGTTCAATATTTATAGATGAAGAGCTAGCTAGTTGTCAACTATCATTCCAATAAATGATTTACGCAACTACAATCGGGAATACACACACACATTCACACGATATTTAAAGAATTAGCTGACTTTTTAATGTCAAACCTTTTAATTGTATAGTTTACATGGTCTATTGCGCCTTCTCTCCTACTCAATGATTGAAAGAAAGCGTGCGATTTATTTATTCTTCGATAAGGGAGTTTACCTCTAAGACATCTAATTAATATTGAGGTATATATATACATATATATATATATATATATGGGCATAGAATTACCACATTAAGTGGCTTGGAATGGAAAATATTTTTTTTTATCGATTTCCACTATTAAATCAGTAGGTTCAGAAAAACGAATAAAATATAAATTAATTATGTATATCAAGTGTCTTCAGTAGCTTATCACTTCCTTCGATATTTATCTGCACATAAATTATATAAATTATAAATGCAGTAGCACTGAATTTAATTAATACATATATAGAAAGAAAAAAGGTACTAATTTCCATTTGGAATATTGTAACATCATTACCTGACAAAATGACTCAATTTTGCTTCAAATCATGTTCGGATAGCGACCAAAAATATCGGTGATCTTTCCTTAAAAATGGTGGTACATTTCTAGAGATCGAGGATATAAAAAGTCAGCCGGCAAATTACAAAACACACCAGCTGGCGGCTGATCACTACAAGTTTTACATATATTTTGTCAGCGCGCGGCGGCGCCAAGTTTTATTTGTATTTTAGAGTATTAGTTACAATTCTCATTTACCAAAAAACTGAAATTCAACAAGAGAGGAAAAAATGAGCTTGGAGAAAGTTCCATGCATATGAATGAGTTCTAGACTTGTACTTACCCCACACACACACGCGCGCGCACACACAAAAGCTGTTATTTATTAGTACAGCCAAGCTGCGCCTGATCTGGGTCGTTGGACCGAGACTTTTATGCTATGTTTGGTAGGAATGAGAGAAAATAAGATAGAAAGAAAATATGAAAGTGATGAAAAATAGCAATGATAGAAAGGAAATTGATTTTCTTTTATGTTGTTTGGTATGAGAAGATGAAAAAAAAATGAACTTACCTTCACTTATTTGGTATTGGAAGTTAAATTGGGAGGAAAGAGAAAATTTTACTCGTAAATTACTTTTATACCCTTAAATTTTTTGCTTGTTGATGGAGAAAATAATAGTTTAGTAACTTTACTCACTTTAAGTAGTTGTCCCTATTTTTCATCTCATTTTCTGCCCATTTGTGGAAAGAAAAAAATGATGAGACCTACATGTACTATTTTTCACTCCATTTTCTCTTCTTTTCTCTTTTCCCTCTAACCAAACAACCTACATTTTTATTTTTCCTCCCAAAATCTCTCCACCTTCTTCTTTTCTTCTATTTTTCTTTCCTACCAAACATACTCTTAAGAAATGAGGTCGTGAGAATCATTCCCAATGCAGATTAAGCTAGGCTGGCACGTACTACTATATTTTAAGGCTCTATAATAAAGTCTAAACGACACAAAATAATAATGAAAAGGATAAAAAAGAATCTAAAGTCAAGATGCTAGTCATGTTTTACATTTTATTTATTTGAACCTTCCACAAAAAGTAGGAACTGATAGTGACCGTTACCATTGGTCAGAAAATGCAATTATCGATTAAAAAGAAAAAAAAAATGCAATTTTTTTTTGGGGGAAAACCATATGCCTACAGCAGAAATTAAGGAATGCGACATGAATTGTATTTGGAGGTGTTAATTAGTTTTATTGCCACTTGTTCACTTCATTCTGGCACTAGCTAGTTTCTAGTTTTTCTTCCTCGGTACTTTGACATCCGCAATTCCGCGTCTTGTTATTGTTTGCGCTGACTTTAGCGATATGGAACTAGTATCCAATGATAATGCTAATTGATATTTCCTTACGTACGTCACTCTAATCCTCAAATCTAGTTAAATAGCAAACATAACCGACAATACTCTTAAGTTAAATAAGCACACGCCCAGAGAGAGGGGAAAAACATTGTTCCACCATTCCACCAGGTAATTCTATTCCCTCTCATATGTCAGTTTAGCTGGACCACCCAACAAGTGTGGTTGGCATAGCACAAAAAATTTTAGGTCGGGTATAGGATGACTCGTGATTATATTGTGCTCCATTAAGGACAACATGAAGTGATAGGCCGTGTCAGGCTCATAATTTTAAATATGTAGTTTAACATGACACAACGCGACAATAAACATAAATACAATGGGCCAACACGACAAACACAATCTTTTTTCTTTTTTATTATGTAATTTTCATGAAAATTTTACATGTTCTCAATAATTAAAAAAATTACATGTCTGCATAAATATATTTAATTCATTTGACCTAAAAACTATCAATCATTTGTTGAAGATTTTATAAACTACTATAAAGAGAAATATACGACACAATTGACATGTATAGATACCAACACGGGCAAATATATAGAAATTAAGGGCACGTTTGTTTAACCGTATTAGAACACCGTATTGTATAATAATATTATATTTGAAGAGACCATTGTATAGTATAAACTAATACGAATGGTAAATTAATATGTTCTATGTCATATTATTGAATACTGCTTATTTTTTGTGTATTGTATTGTATTATTTTATAGTGAATCGATGATTGATGTCAAGGATGTGCACGACTAGAGATCAAACTCAGACGGACATAGGTTCATACCAAAACCTATCATTGTTGAAAAATTGAGGAGACACAATGCAAATTTATATTTTTTTAAAAAAATTACATTTTGACCCCAAAACTCTTACAAAATTACACGTTGACCTCAACATTTTTTAAACATTCAATATTGGCCCTAAAACTTTTGAAAAATTATATTTTGATTTTAAATTTTTTTCAAAACTTATATTTTGATTTCAAAATTATTAAAATTTTATATTTTAACCTCTTATACGTTATAACACTAAACATTGTATTATATTATAATAGCAGAGCACAATAGAAGAGATGCTAAATACACACTCTCTTTCAGACTTTCTTTCAGATGCTGCTCTATTCATTTGACATGTGGCATTCTTAGTCTATCTAACAAATACACTTAACAATGACTCACTTTTTCAATCATATTTACAATACTGCCATTCTTCTAATTTTATTTTTTGTTTATTTTTATTTTTATTTTTTTTGTCAATAGAAGCTTTTTATCGTCATAACTCTTCAACTAAGAATCCTGCATCTATGCTTTTCCAGCCCCCCAAAAAAAAAATCCTACATCTTTGGTAGATGGAACCTGCAACCCAAAAACCATTATTGTGAAAAATTATCACCATCACCAAGAAGGAAAAACCTAAATGCAATGTCAGATTCACACAAAAATAAAAAGGAAAAGACACCACAAAATCTATCCTAGATCCATGGCCGGCGCCCCCTGTCGTCTCGCGAGCCCACCACCACACGAACCAGGCACCATCTCGAACTCAGGCCGTCATGAGATCCTCCATGACCATTGCGAACCCACCATCTGCACGGCGCAGACTGCGCCTCCATCTCGCCATGGTTTGTCGAACCTCTTGTCGGAGTTCAACGAGTCGGCGTCGTCGGAGAAGATGGTGGCCCTACCGATTCAGAGAGAACATTGGCCCTGGTTTGCACGCACATGCCCCTTCTCCAGCAAATCTCCTATGATTTCTCTTGTATTTGATCTTTGTGGGTAGTTGCTTTCTGGGTTTTCGGAAAGTTACTACCTTGAACGATTTCTGAGATTTTATGCTGCTTGGTGTGATCCGTACCATAAATATAGTTTAAGAAAATCAAATGATGAAGGAAAAATGAAAATTATTTGGGAAATTTGGAGGGTCTTTGCACTCTTTCGGAAGAATTTCACCAATTTTGAGGGATGCCAAATAGATTGTCTATGGTGAAATGGTTTGATAGAGTTTCAGCAGTAGAAATCTGGTTTGACATAGGGAAAATCTGGTTTGATAGAGCTTGAGGACCCAACGGGCACTGTCCTAATCGGGAAAGCTAACAAATTCTCAGGAAACGGAAAAAAAATGCCTAAACAGTGTTGTAAATATGATTGAAAGGGTGAGTCATTGTTAAGTTTCTTTATTTGATAAAATCAGAATGCCACGTGTTAACTGAATAGGGTATTATTTGAAAAAGAGTTTGAAATAGGATATGTATTTCGCATTCTTTTACAATACAATACACTTTATACAATATAATATGAACTACCAAACATGTCATAATTAATCTTATTACATCATTGTAATGGAGCCAATACATAATTATAACATGCAATTACCAATTTACCACACCGTTACATTTTTTTTAAACTTAATTGAAGGCAACTACACCGCTTACAAGTAATCTCCGTAATGTTCTAAGATCAGAACACAAAGCCATATATATATATATATATATATGCATGAAAATAATAATATTCATGGACAGGAGAATATAATTAGTTTCTTTTGCTGCACTTGCGTCTGATCTCTCCAGCAGAACCAGTGAGAGGGCTGAGTCTTCCCATCTTGACAATGGCTTTCGAAAAATCTTTCAGAAACAGTTGTGGGCTCCTGCTGTAGAGTCTGACCAGATTATCAGTTGGGCCGTTGTTGAAGAGCTGTTGGTCAGAGTGCAAAACACCCTTTTTATTCACCAAATCCCGGAAGTAATTGTTGTCAAAAGTGTTTTTGGTTGTTACATCAAGAGGAGCAAGTTTACTGTCCCCATCCCCAGCCTTTCTTGGACACTTTCTCTTCAATGATGTAGCAAAAAATGGATTTATGTTTGTGTCGTTGTAGATATGATCCCTGAATGATAGGCAACGTGCTTTACCGATTGTGTGAGCTCCTGTATATATGTATATATAGGAGTTAGGGTACTTAAAGAAAAAGGGGAAACAATAAATATAACAATTAATTATTAGGCTATTAATAACATGTTGCTTATATTATATGATCGATCCTTTTTAAAACAATATACGAATATCGATATATTATTGAGTTTCCATAGATAATATTGAAGAAATATACATATATATATACATGTAAAAAATTTTAATATATTAAGAACTCACAATGCATTTTAGCTCAAAGATAAAAGAGAAAAAAAAAGGAACTAACTATGCATCTTTTATTTTGAAATATAATTGGAATACTAATGAAATAAATAATCAAGATAGAATAATATAGTTTCCTTTTAAAACACGCTTAAATAGTACTTTTCATTTTTCAGCGTATTTTCAGATTTTCATTGATATTTTTTTCATGGATTTAGAGCCCCGATAGTAGCAGAGCCACAGGGAATCGACTCTTGTAACCCTTACTAATATCCTTTGAGCATCCATATTCATTCTCATTGAGTTAAAATATCACTACTCACATGAAGTAAGTCCCGCTAAGTGGATAGGTGAGACTTACTATTTGTGAGTGATGCGGTTCTATCTCTATGGGATGAATACCATGTTTGATATCCTTTTTTTATGTTATTCCAATACTATCATACAGCGTCAACTAAAATATCATGTCAATAAAAATCTCATGTCACACTAATTAAAAAGTGTTAAAATATTTTAACTAACATGACAATGATCTTATTAGAGGACACGAAATGAGACATTAATCGGGGGACATATGGCCTTAATCCGGAGCAACACAATATGCTTTAGTGAGAGTACATGATGTCCCCACTAAGGCTTTTTTAATTAATTATATTTATAGGCTTTGTTCGCTTTTCTAATTCGTGTTTTTAACATGAGTTGAAAAGTAAATTTACGTGAGAGAAAACATTATTGCAAAAAAGTTGAAGTTAGATTTTTATGAGAGAAAATATTGTAGCAAAAACTTGAATTGTGATTCGTTTTGGTCATAATTTTTGTAAAATTTCAATTGTAGCTTCCTTCAATAAGAATTTTTATTGTACTTTCACTTGATAAGAGAAAAGTTATAGATTATATGTTTCATTCAATAAAAACTCTTTTGAATTTTTCATGTTGTGTACCATTGAGCCAGGACATCTCTCTCATATATATTGATCTTCCTTGCCTTACATATATTAATGTTGTTGATTTCTTGTTAATCATTGCTTAAGCATGTTAGTTTGTGATGGTAAATTACATAGGTTTATTGAGAGAGGTCGTAGGGTAAATTAAACGAAATAGGTAAGTTACCTGAGAGAACAACCATTTCTTGAGTGGTAAAGCCTTTTCTGGAGAAGCTAGATATAAGGCCTGTAAGATTTGAGATGGGAGAAGGGAGGTCTGTGGTCGCATTATTTGCACTTGCTGTCCTTGAGTCTCTTCTGCCTAATTCCACTCTCCATGTTGGAAATGGAAATAGAGGTGGAATGTATTTCCCATATGGCTGAGGTCGCAACTGAAGAATTAATATTCCAAAATTGATTGAACATTAGTATTTTATCCCCCAAAAAAAAAAAACCATTAGTGGAACATGGGTAACAATCAAGGGCATAAGTGAGGATAGAAATAACTTTCTAAGAGTTTTGGATATATCTTAAAAGGTTAACCTTATATGCCTTTATTTTTTATATTTTTAAATGATGTGAGAGTCAAATTTATAATTTTACCTTTATTTACAATGACATTATGAAATTTAAAAAAAAAAAGAAAAAGAAAAAATCTCTGATTAAAGACAATTGAGAGACATATTCTTACCGCATCAACGGAGTCACGAGCAGCAACTGCTAAAATATCAGCGCATGAGACAACTCCAGGGCATTCTTTTTCTAGTTCTTCTTTTATTTTGTCAATCACGTCATATCCTCTCACCGAATCCTTATTCGGTGCTGCATTCTTCTCTCCTATGAAGTTTGTTGTGTCATCTAATAATACAGATGCGTCACAACCCTGCTCAATTACATGCATACATAACACACAATAAGAGTATACCTAGCAAGATATTAGTATCAATAATACATGCATTATCTCATGAGCAAATGGAGCACTTAATAGAGCTTAAGTTTGAAACACATTTCTAAAGAAATCTCTTTAAAAAATGGGGGGAGAGAGAGAGAGAGAGAATTTAAAGTACTTGAATAACTTGATTAGATTTTTTCCTCATCTATGGATATATATATATATATAGGCTTGATATATAAAAGGTTATAACAGTAAAAAAAAAAAAAAGGGTGAAGTAAAGAGGACTTGCATTGACAAAGCAATCGTGAAAATGGAGGCGGAGCAATGAGCCTCCCATGCGAGGCTCTTTTGCCACTGCTTTCCGTACTTCCCTTTGAATTATATTGAGGGCTTTTGGGCATGAAGCAGAATAAAAGTACTCATTTGATAGATTAGCAGAAACCCTTCCCAATAAAAACAAGATAATGAGGAACGAGCTGCAAATAGAGAAGGAAAAGGAAGCCATGACTATAAGACAATTATGATTAGTACTTAATTAATTAGCTAAAGATAGAAGTAATTAAAGGATGCAAATTATTCTTGTATCCTTACTAATTTGAGTGATCTACAGTTCTGGGACGTGGTTCTATTTATAATATATAGACATAGCTAGTTGTCAACAAAAAAAAAAAAAAAAAAATCAGTTAGGTGATGGTTTCCACTATTTTTTGTCCCCACATGATGCTATTTGATGATAATTGAAAGAAATTAATTGGATGAAATAGGCATTAACGATATTATACTAGTTCATTAGTGGATAAAGTATAATTTGAACACAATATATTATTTAGTTCGCAATGAGCACGTTTATTTGCAACAAACACTCATTATTCCTTAATGTCTAAAAGATACTGGGTAGTTATAATAAATTTAGCTAGCAAGAATCGTATCTTTTGTATCCCTTACCTGATGAAACTAAAAGAATAAAAAATAAAAAATTAATAGTTATTCACTTTGTTTTATATAACAAGATAAAGGATATATATGCCGACACATCTCATATCTAGGACAGTTGGACAGAGATTGATTAAGAAACTAAAAAAAAAAAAAAAAAAAACGGATAACAAGGAAATCAAGGAAACAAGCTGGCTGGCGTTTCCCTTTGATTACCAATATATATATATATATATATATATATGTATATTTTGAGGGCATATCATATGTATAAGATGAATTAATGAGAGAAAACTTAATTTCTAGCGGATTCACTACATGCAGTCGAATCCGTTTAGAAAACCTGTCAGCCGGCTGATCTCCATTATATAGTCTCTTTAGACTTATAATTAGAGGAGATACTGAAGGCATTGAAGCATTCAGACTAAATTTGTTTAACCTTACACAAGAAATCCCTACTCACTTGTATCTTTGGTTGTTAGATGACCTCTTTCTCTAATAGTTTGCCTCCAAATACACTACAAGAAACAACACATTTAGCGGCGACGCTTTTAACGACGATAACTGTCATCGCTAATTGTCATAAAGAGTGGGGAGGAAACCCCTGGAATTAAGAAGTGGGCCCCACTTCATGTCGTTACTAATACTAGAATGATGTATGCAAAAATTTATTCCATTTTTTTTGGCGACAAATTAGACATTTAGCGACGAATTTATTACTTCTGAGATAGTAAAAAATATTATGTTACTTTAATGTTTATCTTTACAAGCAAAATCAGCGATAAATTCAACAAACAAGAGGAACGTCAAGTGGCCAACCTATCAGGGCCGAAAGTTATACTTTCAGCATCGACACGAGAAGGTAAAATAATATTTACATTTTCATTGTGTAACAATTTTTTTTAAAACATTTAGTTCTTTAACTTTTACACCAATTGGACCAATTCAATGATACAGAGGAACCCCGAGACCCGACAGCCGCAGTCGTTGATTGACAACTGGTGTGATCTATATTTCCGTCAAGGTAATGGTTGGGCCAATAAGGCTGCTGCGGCAGCATATGTGAGTATATATTTACGAAAAGTCTTTCAAAATGTTCTTATTCATTAACAAATTCTATTGTCAATTAATATTTACTAATTACTAATAATAGGGCAAGATGGTAGATGAGGGACAGACTCAGGTGTCGGAGTCTGGGTCAAGCTCCTCCACCAGTAACGTCGATGAGATTGTTATTCTTGAGAATGTTCTTGGGAACCATAGGGGTCACCGCCTGGGAGTGAAACCTAAAATGACTCAGCGACGTTCATCTTCTACTTCTTCCTCGTCCGGATCACAGTCTGAGATGCCTACCGCATGTTTAGCTCCAGATATGCAGCAGTGGCTTTTGAGTTTACACGCCAGCCATACGGCGTTGGTCAAGGAGATGATGGAGCTACGACCTAGAGTTGAGCGCACTGTCATTTCACCCCGCCAGGAATTGTGCTTCCTAGGACCGATGAAGAAGATGATGAAGCTGAAGAAGAAGAAGATGGAGAAAATGTTAACTTAGGATATTAGGATCTTATTACAGTATCTTATTAAACTTATACTATTTTTATTTATTGTAGACGTTTGGATATGTATGTTTTATCTATCTGTTTCGTTATCTGTCTATATATTATTATTAATACTATTATTATCCACTTTTTAATTATTTGGCATTTCTATCATTTAATTAAATTCTAATTTAATTCAAATTTAAAAAAACCTAATTTCCACTTTAATTCATAAGCTGCAAAAAAAAAATTAAAAAAAAAACTACAGAACAAAATAAACAACAAAAATTTTAAGCTGCAAAAAAAAATTAAAAAAAAAACTACAGAACAAAATAAACAACAAAAATTTAATTAAAAATAATAATTAGCTACAACTATTTCTCTGTTCGAAAAACTTTTGGTGTCGTCATTAAAATGTTTTTCGTATTTAAAATTCGAACAAATCCAACTCTTTTTTGCGACGACATTTTTGAAAATGTCATCACGAATAGTTCTATTGACGTCATCAACAATCTTTATCTTTGATTTGGAATTAGCGACGATACATAGTCATTGCTAAAAAACTTTTAGCGACAGAGAATTAACGACGACTGTTTAGCTGACAAGTCGTCGTTGAAAATCTTTTAGCGATGACAATCATCGTCACTAAAAGTCTTATTTCTTGTAGTGATATATGAAAGTCTAATTATAGTTATGATATTATATATATATATATAGGCTTTTTTTTATGTCTCTCTAGAGGGACCGTCCCTTCAACGTAACATGTAGCTGTCAAAACATAATATGACAATTATTGAATATAACATCGACGTTAGAGGAAAGTAACATAATCTTTAGGTGACTAAATTTTTTAGTGTTACTTCTCTCCAATATCGATGTTACGTTTTTATACCTACATATTACGTTAGAGGAACTTGTCACCGGAGGATAAAAAAAAAAGCCATGTGTGTGTGTATGTTTCATGAAGCAAACTCATAAGGAAAGTTCTGATTTCATTTTATTTTATTTTATTTTTGAATGATAGAGAGGACTCAGCTAACATAAAGGATGTGAAGCAATTAACCCATAAGTAAGACTTGTCCTACACGAGGACCCTCACTCTAACATTATTAAAACAAAAGGGGGGAAAAAAGTCAATACAAGTAAATAAGTAATCCATCCTAAAGGCAAACATAGTTTAGGTCACACTAAAAAGATCCTGAAAAGAGGCCTCATTGAAACACTATAGAAGGGGGGGGGGGGGGGGGGGGGGGGAAAAAAGAGGGATAGGTTAAATCCACTAAAGGGAAATTGTTCTGATTCTTGTGTTTTTATATTATACTGGTTGAAAACATGTGTTGTGCGTGTGTGTATTTAATATGTTATATTTTTTAAATTTTTAGATATGATTCTCTAAATTTAGTTTTTTTAATAAATTAAATTGTAGATATTTAAAATTCAATTATAACTCTCTGTGCTTAGAATGATAAAAGTTCTTCACCGAAAAAAATGATAAGAGTTCTCTTAAATCCCAACAATAACCTTAAAATGCGGGACTCAGTAGTGCTTTAAATCATATATAAAAGGATTAATTAAAAAAAATTTCATTGAATTATACCTATTATAATACTTTGCCTTATGATATTTAAAACATAACATTCGTTCTACACTGAAATGAACTATGAAATGGTAACAAAAATGCCCACTTTACATGTGGCGGGGGATATGGACAGGGATCATAAGTAAAACTGTCGTTCAAACCTTGATCTTAACATTCATCACTTTGAGATGTGAATGGGAAAAAGAGGTAGCTAGAGTTGTAGATGAAATAAGAGTACTTTGTATAATGCAATATTCTTTGATATATTTCTCATAACAGTTGGAAATCATAAGACATTTTTGTTGGGAATGGTGTCCTAGAAGCATAAGATGTAATAGGATATTTATTATTTATTTAATAAAAGAGTTTATTCATTATTTTATGTGCATATATTTATGAATATTTTATGAATATCAATAAAAATTCTATGATTATTTATGTGACCTTAAACATTATATATAAGTGTTATATACGAGAGGATAATGTTTAAGGATAATAATAAAAAAGCAATGTTCATAATGAATTTAATTAAAGTTCAGAATCTTTAATTAAAACATTATTAATACATGTCATTCCCATTTAGAATAGAATGGTGTTATCCGCACTGTTAATATGGTGAGATATTGAATGAGTGTATTTCGCACAATGAGATTATGTGGAACAAGGTGTTGGTAAAAATTTGGATTTGGGAGGATGAAAAGAATATAGAAAACAAGAAGAGGGTTTGAGGCGTATAGGAATACTTTTCTTTAAGGTTTTATTTGCCCTCACTTCTCAAAGTTTGCTAATGAGTTTTAATGACAAATTACCCCCAAGATACAACAAACCCTTGAACACAATATCCAGCAAAAATATTGAGTTCCAGAACAATTATTAGTCTGTATTTTCTGAATGCATTAATTAAAGACAGGGATGCATACATCCTCTTTAAACGTTACAACCTTTCACATAAAAATACCTTTTCCAATTTGAAGGTTATCTTTTATATGCTGATGCACTTATAACAATAGTTATTTCTATTGTTAATAAGTACTCAGATATGTGAGGAAACATATCACAAATAGATGCAATGGTTCAAGACCTTTTCAGATCATTAAAACACACGAAAACACGTTTTCCGGTAGCAATTTGCGCTGCAGCGGATGACATTCACGCTGCAGCACTCGAGCTTCGCAAAACAGACCCAAGAGGTCTGTTTTGTGCGCGCTGCAGCGCATCCCTACGCTGCAGCGCTCGGGCATCACAAAACAAACCCGAGAGGTATGTTTTGTGCGCGCTGCAGCATGTCCGTGCGTGCTGCAGCGCACGCTTGTGCGCGCCTATTCTCCCGAATGTGTTTTAGGCCAATATTTTTGTGATATCGAAATTGAGAGATATATTACAATCTCTCTAACAATCCCCCACTAGATTGTAATATTTCTCCAGAATTAACAACGATAAACACATACATACATG